TCTACATCCGCGTAATCTTACTTAATGTTGCCCTATAAAGAAAGATATTTCGATTTTTTTTATCGTTAAAATTTTGCACCCACGTTTAAAGCGCACATTTTTACGACTGACAAGTGTCGTCGCGCGTATGCATGTTTTTATGTATACAGGTTTGTGTATATGTAAGCTTATTTTTACTAAAGGTATGCGTCCATTGGCCCGCGCCGGACGCACCGTACGGACAGATTAAACGGATTTGCTTTGCCTTTCGATGCGTGCGGCGCGGATGATGGACAGAGCGCTATGTTGAATCATACAAAGTAAAGTAAAATCCGTCGCGCGCCGTGCTTGCGGTGCGTCTGGCGCAGTCCAATGGACGCATACCTTTAGCCCGCTGTCCTAAACAAGAGATGAGATTTAAAAAAAATGTGTTATGTTATTAGGATGAAAGGATTAAATGTAATTTTAATTATATTTATATTTATTTTGTTTTTTAATGCAATTTTAATAACTTTGGGTTTTCCGAAACCAAAAGCACCATTTAAGACGTATTGTTACCCTCTGTTTTGTCAAAGATAATATCAAATGTGACGATATAGTTTATACAGAGATTTTAGTCTCAAAAACCAATGGTAAGTGCGATAGAAATCAGTCAGGTTTTTTAGTTTTTTAATTAATTAATAATTTAATTGAAAAAGTAAAGTAGTTATGTGATATTAAATACATCTTTCGTCTAATGTATGTTAATTTAATAAGTACTTTAAAATTTAACATATTTACTAGAGAAATGTATTTATATATAGTACTAAAGTGCTTTTACGTTCGTATGCAGTGTTAAAACAAGTTACATTTATTTATGTGCACATTTGTATTATTTATACGCGTGAAAAGAAATTCTAATACATTCTATGGCTCTACGATCACTCCATTACTCATGTTTAGGTTATATTTTTATTGGCTATAAATATTTTTATGTTTCGAATATTAGAATTTTGATTTAGTTCAGAAAATAAATTGTTTAATATAAATGTTCTTCATTTGTTTTTAAATCAGAATAACATTTCACTGTTATTAATACAATTTTGCTCATTTACTCAGTAAATGGCTGTCGCCCGCGATTCCGTCCGCGCGAAATAAAAAAAAAACATAATTCTCTATGTGTTTTTCCAGACTATGTTCTATATGTATGCCAAATTTCATTGAGATCTGTTCAGCCTTTCCAGAAACGAACATCCATCCATCCATCCAAACATTCGCATTTATAACTTTTGGTAAAAGCAAGATTAACCTTTTTATTTAATTATTTTCAACCGATATCTACAACAATTGAAAACTTTGATCTATGCTTTAAATTCATTTTCAGAAATCTTCGGATCTTCTGTCGTTAACACTTGTAGCAATAATTAGATAAAAATAAAGATTTTATTCTTTATTCAGGATCAGTCCTGTCGTGATATTTCCTAAGTAATTGCATTTACTTATAAATATTTGCATAATGAGGTGTTGTTTTTTTGGGCCTGTGTTAAAAGTGAAAATCTCTTATTACGTAACGGCGCAAATACGTGTCTTGTGGTTGCCAGAACATAAAATTATAAATTGTTATTACATTTTAAAGTAATTTGAGATAAAAAAAATAAGGTTTCTTACTGTCAAAATAATACATTTTAATAAAAAGTTTTTAATTAACTCCATGTCAAGATAAAGTAAGGTTTTTACGGATTATTCTTTATACCAAACCTTCCATATTTAGTATAAATGTAACACACGACAAAAAACTCTCCTTCTATCATTTATATTGGAATTCAAACAATTCGTAAATAACGAACGAATTACTATTACGAATTACGTTTAATACATTCATTCTAATTTTATTAATTTGCCAAAAATATTCTTTCTGGATAAACTAGTAACATTGACAGCTGTCAAACCAAAGAAATGGCGGCAAAGGGTTCAGTAAACGTATCAAGGGCGCCAAGGACGGTAAAAGTTGTCGAGAACCGGTTGGATTTTTAACCTACATCTGGAAAATTACTTGCGATACGTGAAAGGGATAAATATATGTTACGTTTTAAATATTAAAGTAAATATTCGACTTCTGTGTGGATTTTTATTACTTTTGTTAAGTAAATTTTTGGCAGCTTTTATTGAGGGCCGATATCAAACCTTACATGCAATCAGGAAATGTTTCATTTTATAACCTTCAGATAAGTTTAAAGACCGTTTTTGATTATTCAATAATATCGTGATTAAATGCACTTCCCTTTTAACGGAGATATTAAACGGGAAATATAAGTATGATATTTATATTAAAATTATATGAGATGTTGAATTCGACTCTTCCAGACTCGATCGAAACTTTCGAAAATTACTTCTCTCAAAGATGATAGAAATTCTTCTTCGACTTTCGTCGTACGCATAACTGCATGTTAACTGCCGAAACAATTGTGCCAAAATGTTAATTCAATTTCTTTAAAAGACAATTAAAAGGATGACTACTTTTTTGGAAAGGAATAAAAATAGTTAAGCTCGCATGTTCATAGTAATATCAAACAAAATATGTTCACTATTAAAATATTCTTTATAGGCCCCGAGATACAGGCTCAGCCTAGTTCGGGGTCTGTAAGATACTTCGCTGTATATTATTCTAACGAGTTTTTGTGAAATAAATTTATTCTTATTCTTATGTAAAAATGTTTTGCAAGCTATAAAGACGAAATTTAAAATATCCATTAGGGTATTAAAAATTCAGGACATAGGAAATTCTCTCTAAACTTGCCTCGCATAAATTGACGAGAACATTGTGGGCTGCCTTGGGGGAGGGCAATGTCTTTTGTTCTTGCAAAGAGCGTGCTCGGTGCGGCAAGACTTGTGTTTGGATAACCAGTTGCTATATCTACTAATATGGAACAATACACGACAAAGTTTACCTTTTGTAACGTGAATTTTGCTTATGAAAATGTTGAGCACGATTTTTAAGTTATTAAAAAAACCAAATTGGGATGCATAAGCAAAGATTATGGACATAAAAGCTCTCATGAAATGCTAATAAAATATTTGATTTCTAATTAAAAATATGGCAAACAAAAACAGCCTCGTTAACGCGCAATTAAATATTCCATTGGACTAAATTAAATATTATTATACATTACTATAGAAATAGAAACGAAATACCGTCTTAATGTTTACACAGTTATTGCAGACTGACAAGAAAATAAATTTTAGTGTAGAGTATTTTAAAGTAAACATTTTTTAGATCCTTATAATTTTCGAAGAGTCCTTCTCTAAGTTCGAAGAGTTGAGACACTTCAGAAGCAGATCTTAGTAACTATTCCAAGATTTAGTAAAATAATGTCAAGAAAAACTCATCACAATACTATAGTAGTAATCTAAATGCTGTTTCGAAGACAGAAGAGAAATTCCTATCAATAAGTGAACCTCAAGATTTAAAGCATACGCAATACAAGACGCAGTTTTACAGTGTCAAGGATGAGAGCATATTCAACCTAGACCCGAAAGCAAATATTTGATGGTTATATAGATATAATAATACTATGGCTACTAGGTCAAATACTATAGTGACACGAGTGTTTGTCAATACTGTTGTTTATACTGGTCTCAAGGATCCGTATCGAAATACGTCCAATAAAATGATGGAGAAATCATACTATGCAGTCTAATTAAAATGCATCTAAGCTGTAAAATATTGCCTTAATTTTATAGTACAGCTATAAGTAAATCAATTTATATCTAGCTTGTTCTCGTATGCCTAATTACCTTTCTCTTTGCAATTATTTACAAATTTAATATCTGCTCAATCCACTTACTAATAAACAAGTTTTCTTGATAGTTCCGATGTCCTCTTAGAACTTATCTTTGATCTGATTAGAACATTTTGTTTAGAATTCTCTATTTTGTTAGATCTTGTTTGTTTAATCCACCTAATACGTCACGTTCTATGTATTAATCCGTTTCAATTTAACCGATTAGATATTATTCATTGATTTGTAATCTAATCTAATCTAATCTAATCTAATCTAATCTAATCTAATCTAATCTATCCTGAACTTGGGACAAATTGTTTGCATTCAATTTTTACGTTAATCCTTTCACGTACTGTAATTAAATATACGTGTAAGGACAAATTTAAATTATCAATAATTTATTCAATGGATACAAGATAATTTAAACTAAATATATTATTATTTTGATAATGTTATAGCGCAAAAACTTGTAATTGAATTAAATTTGCTTAGTCGTCTCATATATTGCTCAGACATTCCTAACTTCCTTTCGCCTTCCTCTTATTTCCTTCACTTAGGAAAACAGGTGTTTCAGGAATTGGATGTTACCCATTACCCCTCATTTCATAGTTATATTATTTGAAATAAACTTTAAAATTGCTTTTAATGATCACGCAATAAGAAAAAATATGACAGGATACTGTCTTGTATGATATATATTCTGTCTACCACGATTGATGTACATTTCGTGATCAGTAACAAAAAAGCGAGATCCGTCAAGGTGAATACGTCATAGGTATTTGTATGAATGTAATAACACTTTCTCCTTCAATAGAAAATCAAAACCGGATCCCATTATGTTATTTGGTCCATACAAGATTGAAATTGCAATGTAACACTGTCATGTGATTAATTTGAAAGCTAAGATATGATTGGCTGCTTTGACACATATTGTCATCGCACACATTCTCTTGGAACAAACAGAGACAACAATATAACAACGCAACGCATCTGCGGTTCCTCTGGTATTGCTGATGTCCATGGGCGTCGTTGAACACCTCGGTGTTCCCGCTGCTCGTTTGGCCCCTTCTGTTTTAAAATATATACAAGGATCCCGACAGTGGAAATCAACTGTTAGAAGTTGTTAATTTAGATTAAATGTGAAGTAAATTAAATAAGATTTTTTGAGTAAAGAATATAAATAAATCATAAAAAAATTAGTTAAATATAATATTAATAAAAAAATATTAAGAACTTATTGAGAGTACTGCTTTTTTAATAAATCAGTACTGACATTACAAACAGAAAATATACTGGAGTAAAACTGAAAAATAATATTTAAAAGCATTAAGGATTGTTCTTTTCCAATGTATAAGTTTTTACTTTTTCCTGATACATTTTGTGTTTAGCCTCAAGTTTCTTCAGAGCACTAGAGGGTCGTACTCCGCTAAAATTCACCATAAAACTTATATGAACCGGTGGTACTTCATCTGTTTTGTCCATCATTTGTGTAGTCTTATATTGTGCAGATTTCTTTCTTAATTCATGCTCTTCTTTATTTCTAACTCTTTCTTTGTGATCGGTGTTACTTAATTTGGGTCTAGTGTCTTTTGATTTAGTTTCATAAACATTACGAATTTTGTCTTTTTTATATTTATCTCTTTCATTTAAATAGTTTTTGCTATTTTGTGTTTCATCTGAAGATTTACAGCCAATTCTTGTTTTTAAAAAGGCCTTTTTATCCTTAGTCTTCTTAATTAAGTAAGAAGAATGTGTTGCACCTTCGCCTTGTTGATCTTCAATTTTATTGCTTTGTTTAGCTGATGATTGCCTCTCTGGCTTTTTTTCCTTCTCTAGCTCTATTGACTTTTTATAAATTTTCACTCGATTTTCCATTCTTACCTTTTCGGAATATCTCTGCAGACTCCTGGCTCTTTCTAGTCTTGGTTTAATTTTCTCCATATCTGGCCCTAGACCACCTAATTTGACATTATTCAGTACCTCAATGGTAGCTCTTCTATCAGACGCATGTGATGCACGTTTAGGTAGAGATGCTTCAGATACGCTTCGTAAATTATCTTTCTCGCTTGTAGATTTATTATCATTGTCTTCAGTCAAACGATGTTCGAATTCAAATGAATTATCCAAATATTGATTACGTTCTTTCTCCAACAGTTTCGCATAATACATTTCATTGTATGATTCAGTATTATGAAAATCATTAGTCACTTGATAGTTAGTGTCGTCTCCAATACTTTCTCTTTCTGTATCGCCAACCTCAGGCGATAGAGAACGTATATCTTGTTCTAATGGTGTGTCATCGTCTAGTTTTAAGTTATTCCTTTTACGAAACACCTCTAAATAGGATACTCGTGGAGGGTTACTCGTACGTTTGTTTACTAAATAATTCTTGACAGGTTTGCTTGTAGATTTTCTATCATCAGTATTATGATTCCATCTTTGTGCTTTAGGAACTTTTATCAATATGTCTTGCTCATAAAACGGCACGAGTATTGTGTCAACGTTATCTTCGGCATACTCATTTTTAATAGACGCTTTATGTTTGAAATTTTCTTCTAAACTATCCAAGGACATTTTGCTTTCAACGTCTGAATTTTTTGCCATTTTTCTTGATATAAACGACTTTTTTCTTTTACTCGTAAAAAGATAGGATGTCATTTGAGTTGACAATTCAATTTATTTCCTCACAAGTGACAGGGTGCGATGAAATAAGGTCTCATAACTTTTATTGATATTCGAGAAAAAAAGCGATTCCAGTAATTAATATAATATATTTATTTTATACTAGCGGTCGCCCACAACTCCGTCCGCGTGGAATTAAAAAAAACATAATTAGTAGTCTGTGTGTTATTCCAGACTATGTTCTATATGTATGCAAAATTTCATCTAGATCCCTTCAGCCGTTCTGGAGATATCTTCAAACAAACATACATCCATCCATCCCTCTAAACATTCGCATTAATAATATTAGTAAGATTTATAGCTTACGTACATTGCTAATTGGTAGCAATTGTTTTAAGTTTTGTTAGCATTCATACTTGACTCCCTTTTCACTGGGTCTTGGTTTTCATTGAATGTTGGAAATCCTATTAAAAATTATATCACAGAATAGAACACGCTGGCCACTTTCAAATATGTAGTAAGTTTCAATATCATAGAAATTTAAATTAAAAACACACGAATTCATAAAACTAAATAGAAACACAACAGCATAGCAACACACAATGAAACCAATCTTAAAATGACACGATAATACGACTTTAAGAAAATATAACGAATAAAATTATCTAGGACATGTTATATAGGTTTCAAATTAGATTATAAATACATAATGCAATCCATTACAATGTCGTTAGCACATCTTTATATAGCGGTCAAGTAGGAAATGAAACACATTATATATTTTAGCTGACAATTTTAGAATAATTTATTAGGTCATCTACTTTATTTGGAAGTATTTTTGTATGTATTTTAATTTTATCTTTATGTATTTATATTTCGATGATATTTGTAATAAAAAAAACTATTGCAAAAAATATAAAGAGATCATAAGATTATAGCATGATTAATTTGTTTGCATTTATTGTAGAGATTTCTATCTGTTTTTAATATAAGTACCGAAAAGTAATTTCCCTTGATGTTAATGTTAATAATATAGTATATTCTAGTTTAAAAGAGAATGGTTCTATTGTTGTATAAAATCAAATGAACATGTTACGTATTTCAATTTTTTTTTTATATCATAAGGTGGCAAACGATCGAGCGGCCACCAGAAATCGCTGGAGCAGAGGATGCATAGAAAGAAAATATCTTCCCTTTCCATGCATCATCCGAAAAGTCCACTTCCACTTCCCATCCTTTCCTTATAAGAAAAAGGATGGGAAGGGAATGAGGACTAAATTAGGCCTCAGGGACGCACACTCATCAGACGAAACGCGGAATTGCTTCCACTTCACGCCTGTCTTCTGTGTGGTCGTGGTATTTCGTGTGGAGATGTTAAAGCGGGCTCACCACTGTTAATTTTTTTTTAAATTGCGCGGACTGACACTTTAACTCAATATGCAAAATAATCCAGCAAAAGATTTCCTACTTCAAAAATCTAAAGAAAAGAAGCTTAATCTTGCCATCAACTAAATTATAGTAATCAAAGAGATGGAAATTCAGCGCTCGAAGTTAACATAACAAGTTTCATAGCTACGACACGACATAATGACGTTCATCCAGAAAATAACAAAGAAGTGTACATTTACACGATCCCAGTTGGGACAGTGCCAAAACTCTGTGATAAGGGATTTGGGGCAAGCCATTCAGTTAACGGATTTGCACTTGTATATACCGCCAGTTTTGCAGTGAATATCTATCATATTATGTAGTGTGACGTTGTGATTGTCTAGTAATCGAAATCCTAACCTTTACCGTAAGGCATCAATTTTTGGCAAATTTGTTGATACTAGTGGTTGAAATTCGTCCATTATTAAGTATCAAAGAATTTTTCTCTACATTAATTTTAACTGAGTTAAAATTCGCGTTTATCTGTTCCCGTTTCTATATCCAGGTGTCCAGGAAAGACGTGTATAGCGGAGTACTACCACAGATTGATTGATCGATATGTCCTCTATGCAAAGTTGATTCTTTTGGACGCTAGAGGGCTTCAGCCGATGCAATATTTTAAAATTTTATCAAATATCCTGAAAATTCTTCATTGGATTTCAATGATTTTTAGGACAGCCTTTGCAATAAGCTACATCTTTTTGTAGTAGCAATTTTTATTTACAAAAGTATAGGGTGTTCAAAAACCCGAATACAAAAAAATACATAGCCATATCTTTCAGCAGCTTTGGCACTATAATCCATATTTTATTATTATTTTATAGTTAACATATTGACAATAAATCAATGATATGCCTATAATCAATACTATTAACATATAGATTAAATTTTGTATTTATTGGAAACGAGAACGTGCATATGTAACATCGTCACCAAATGATGATATGTCAAGGTCATGATTAACTAAAATTAACCAAGACTTGATTTATATGCGTTTAATAATTTATTTTAGCGTATCTTTAATTCTGTGAAATTTACTGCAATATTCCAAAAACAATACAGAATTAAATCAATTAATTAAAATTAATAATTTTGTTTCTTGTTTTTTTTTTTGATTATATTCAATGATGTACGAATTGAATTCCCTTCCGTCTCTTTTTTATTTGCGTGAAGAGGCAAACGGGGAACACCGATCATTGACAATCATGGGCTTCAATTTCTAAAGAGTTCCTTTACGCAATTCTAACTATAATTAACTTATAAATTAACACTAGCTGTCGACGGCGATTCCGTCCACGCGGATTTAAAAAAATATATTTTTGGTCGCAGCGTAATGTTATATAGCTTTCCTCTACAAATGGACTATCCAACAAAAAATGAATTTTTCAAATTGGACCTATTCCTGAGATTAGCGCGTTTAAACAAACAAACAAGCAAGCAAACTCTTCCGTTATAAAAATAGGACCCATACGCATATAATTCAGCTTCTGACAATATTTTCCTCTTAACAAGCTACCATCCCGAGATTGTAATATTTTTAACACAATATAAGTTAAACAAAAAGACGTAGGTGGGAACGTTGAGACCTTATATTGCGATAATTTCAAAGGTGAACAAGTTGTCTGTTCCATCCTCCTTTATATAGGGAGTGTTCAAGGACAACAACTGAGATAAAATAGATTTAGAGCACTTTTAATTCAAGATCACACTGTATATGAAACACTGGAGATGAATTTGTATTAACTAACTTGAAAAAGGACATTTTTTTTAAATACAGACATAACCAAACTCTTACCAATAAGGATGGGAAGAGACTATGGTTTTCCATACGGCACGATTTATTTAATTTAAATTAAAATAGTTAAAAGATTTAAAAGGCAGCCAATAGATGGCGCTATTTTATCTATTAGTTATGTGATTCTTTAGTTGATCGCATCTTACGATTTATTCACATAAAACTTTATACTATAGCTTATAACATTTATCGATGAAAACTTGAGAAACTATTCGCTCGCATAACGTGAAAATTGATTAATTTACAATGTAAATGCAATTAAAATGAGATAAACCAATTCTAGAATATTCGAACACATCTTTATTCATGTAAGTTGTCAACCTTAGCCAAATTAGACAATAAAACATCCCGCATCAAACTAATCAGATGAGCATTGACATTTAAAAAAAAATGATTTACAAATGACATCCTAATGACATTACAGTTATATAAAATACTAGCTGTCGCCCGCGACTTTGTCCGCGCGGATTAAAATAAACTTGATAAGTAGTGATCTTCCAGACTATGTTCTATAACTATGCCAAGTTTCAGCAAGATCCGTTGAGCCGTTCCGGAGATACCCTCAAATAAACATCCATCTATCCATCCATATAAACATTCGCATTTACAGTATTAGTAACTAGCTGTCGCCCGCGACTTTATTCGAGCGGGATAAATATGCTTAATTTGTACCCAGGCTGTGTTCTACATCTATGCCAAATTTCAGCGACATCCTTGTAGTCGTTCTGGAGATATCTTCTAACAAATATCCATCCATCCAAACATTCGCATTTATAATATTAGTAATATAAAAACAGGTGTGCCAAAATGTTGACTGATCAATAATTCTAAAATGTCTAATTCTTTCGTCTATGTCTTATTTATTGGCTTTATAAATTAACGATTTTAAAAATACATGAAAAAATCACATAAATTATATTGCGAAATTTGACTTATATTCTAAAAACTTTAGTTTTTTTAAATGCCATGCACTTTTGTGAGATCAAAAGTTCAATAATTTACAGTTTTAATATTAAAATATTTTGACTTAATTTCGAGTCGTATATTTTTCGCCATTTTTTTGCTTACAAATGCATACGATTTGGTTTAATTTTTTATTACATTTAACGAGTATGTATTGTAAATAATTTAAATAATCCCATAATAAAAGATAAGAAAAGATAAAGTTACTGCAAATATTTCTGAAATTACTAAGTTTAGCGTTATTTTAAGCGTTTTTTTTTCGTGGTTTCTAACCGAAATCTACTTCAAATTCGTCATTATTTTTTTATATGTCGAAGAAAACTGAAGGATGATAAATGGTAGTACGCGTAGGCAGTGTTTTATATCAGTTGTCCGAACAAGGTGACACAAATTAGGATCGTATATATAAATATAGTATATTTAGCGTCGTATGTGGCTCAAGGTAGAATGTCGGTGCCAAATTACTTGACAATACGCGCTGTTGAAGCATGTCGAGTGATACAAGGTCATGAACATAGATGCCTATTAAGTTATCCCATACAGAAACTTTTTATAATAGACTAGCTGTAACCCGCGTCTCCGTCCGCGTGGAATGAAAAAAACCTAATTAGTTCCCGGCAATCCTAGACCTCCACAAACATTTTACGACCAAGATAGGATAAATCCGTTCAGCCGTTCTTCCGTTCTCGAGACTAACAATGAGCAATTGATTTATATACTCGTATATACATAGAAGATGGAAATTTTGTGATGAAGATTATGTGAGAGAGGTTATGACAAAGAATGAGATGCATGGGAAAATAATACAAAGATAATGTGCAGCCCCTGCTTAGGTAAAAGGACGGGATGGCGATAAATTAAACATAGTTTTATTTATAAACAACAAAATAATTCAAAAATTATTTATTTGTTTTAAGTAATAAAGTCGTCTTTAAGTGAGTCGTCTTAATTCATAAATATTTAAAACCATCTTACATATTAAGAAACTTCATATTAGCGTGTTCAATTTAACACAATGTTAACTAATGTCCGATAGTGTCACTTTTTCAATAGCTTTGACAGGAGTCAGTTACCAATATTTTTTTTCCCCAAGATATGTTCAATACAGAAATAGCCAATTTAATGATCTTTAAAACACATTTATAACATAATTGAAAGTACAATATACTATTTATTTTAACTTTTAATTTGCACCATTAGTGTTAGATGTTTGAATCAATTAAATTTTGTAATTTGCTCTACATTATCAATTAGATATGCATTCTGATAAAATTATTTTCTATTGAAATTGCTACTCTAATTTCGAAAAGATAAGGTCCAAAATTGAATACATTAAACTAGAGTTCATTTAACTAAGCCGATTAATGCACTTGGCCCACATATGTAGATGTAAGATTACGTGTAGGCATTAGTGTTATGTTCTCATGAGATTTTGAACCTTATTGTATATGTAATAAAAATTAAAAAGCTTTGTATTTGGTTTATGGTATGTTGGAAGGTGTTAATTGATTCTTATATTCGATAGCATCAACATATCAATCTTTATGATGGTTTATATTGCTTGCATCCCAACCAAAACATATGTCCATCCCAACTTATATGTTATTAGAAGTCGCCCGCAACTAAGTCAGCGCAGAATTAAAATAACAGCCTATCCGTATCTAAGTCCCGTCAAAATACAACAGAGAGCGATTTCAATCTTCGCTCTTAGCGATCAGCTCGACACTTTAGCGCTGCGGAAGGGCATCTGCGGTTCCACTGGTATTGCTGATGCCCATGGGCGTCGTTGAACACCTCGGTGTTCCTGTTGATCGTTTGCCCCCTTCTGTTGGAGATTTCCCAACTTGTCAGTACAGACAGAGAAAAATTGCAAAAACTGTTTTTTATAAGCACTAAAATGCATCATGTCCGCGATTTTTTTTTGGATATTACATACAGACACTCCAATTTTAATAACTATATATTAGTTACGTTATTCAAATTTGTGAGCTGATTTTATATATAACCACCATTATTAATTGACATCTAATTTAGAACATATTGACCAGCAATTAGTGTCTCCGTGAATTAGACGGATTAACGCATGTTTTATCAAGTACAATAATTTTATAATTAAAAATATTGACTTTAGTTGACCTACAGTTGTGACCTAGCTATATTTTGTTATATACTAAGGTCGGGCATTTGCATGACTCCAATAATATTGTAATAATAGATCTAGAACAGTCATGTTTGAAACGATACAAGTAGGAACAATCAAAGAGCTTATTACCTTAAAGACGCCCAGAAAAAACGCAATTATTTTTTCGCCTGGCGAGAATAAGAGACTCAGATAGAGTTACTAATTTTTATAATCAAATTTTTCTAATAATTTTAATGATTTTAGTCTCACGAGAAAGTTGTCAATCTTTTTGTTTAGTGTTTAGCTTGCCTGCGGAGGCCACGGTAAAAACATCTGAAGATTTAAAAACAATTGTTTACCAATGAAAGGTGGGTTTCACTAGTCTCTTTTTTAAGGGAATGCGAGGGATATTAATATGATCTTATAAACGTGTATTGGTAGTGAAAACCAAACACGGTTTTTATCCAAATTAATGAATTGAGAATAAAGTACAGAAATGGGTACGACTTTATATTTACGATCATAAGTCACGAACGGTTTGTAAATATCCATCCATACACGCAGTTTTGAACTGAGGGGTCTTTTTACACTGGTTTATGTACCAATATATAAATGTCAAAAAATATTGAACGATGCAATGATGACCGACATATCTTGATACTTTATAAAATTGGACATGGTACATTTATCATCACTGGTTTTACTTTTTAAAACGAAAGTATGAACAAGTCACGTATTCTTTTACTTACAAGAATCAAGGGGCGCGGTAATGCCCCTGCCGAACATCGTTCTATCTTTTCCTAGATTTTTAATACATCTAGTTTCTTATCTATTACATAAAGATTGTGCTATAAATGTCACGTGACGTTCCTTATTGAATAAAAGACATTTTAATCCTATTTGATTTTGGTTGACATATAAATTAATATTAATTATAGTTAATTTTTCAGAAATGTCATAGGACATAATTAATATTCAAGAGTATTTGTGAATAAATTGATCCATTTTATTATATTACTTTTATTTATTCATGATGAATTTTCGGCGTAACTCAGAAACATCAAAGATGATATTTCCTGGTCAACATAAATATAACAATTTAAATAAACAATTAATTTAACCTTTTGCAAATGACCGGATACATAAATCTGTTAACTGTTATAGTTAAATTTATGATTATTGACATCCGGTCGCATCTTTTTAAAATAATAATTAAACCAGTTCAAATTTTAACAGGAATTTAATAAAGATCAAGGTGAACTATGGATAATAGTTTTATTTGCAATCCAAGAGTTTGGCTGTGTTACAGAAACTTACAGTACAATAGTAGCAAAACCTCGAAGGCACTTAATCCATTGGTATGGTCTGTGCATTGATTTAAAACATATATTAATTTGGTTTATGCATATATGCTTAGGTCTGGGCGAAATTAAAAAAAAAACATAGTAGCCTATGTGTTCTTCCAGGCTATGTTCTATATGTATGCCAAATTTCATCAAGATCTTCGTTCAGCCGTTTCGGAGATACCTCCAAACAAACATCTATCCATTCATTCATCTAAATATTTGCATTTATAATATTAGTAAGATAGTAAGATTTATGTTTTAAACACAAGCTTTTAGCAAACAAAGGTAAGAGTTGACAAATGATCTTTGGATTTGATAGTCTTTCATTAAAAAAAACACTGTAGTAACAAAAATAGAAATTGAATATTTTACCAGCCAGTGTTGCCATATAAAGAAAACAGTAATTAAGAAAAAGAAAAATATCACAGCACATAAAGTGGAAAACAAAACGATATTTAAAATAACGAGTATCAGATTGTAAAAAAAGCTATAATACTTTATTGCTAACGTCCTTTTGTAAAGTTATTTCACTTAAATTCAAACTCCTTTTAACAATTCCATTAGAGCTTTTCTTTTTTCCCTTTGACCTCTATTCGTTTAAGGTTAATTATATTATGATTAGCTTTAATTTGAGTGTGATTTTATTTTATTGTTAGTGTTATTCTATTTTCAAAGGTCACTTTAGTTTTTATTAGTAATACATAACCTTTGACTATTTTATATTTTTTATAACTTTTCCTTTTATGTGTCTAAAATGTAGAAGTATTATAGAAAAAATTGTTTACACTAATATATGTATGTTATAAAAATTTAAAAAATCTATTGTAATACATGTAGAATAATTTCTGGTTCAATGTAAAGAACATCCAAAGTGCATCTTCTCCATCGATTAAAGGTAGGCAACTCAACGCATATGCAATTGCGTATGTCTATGGGCAACGGTCACTTCGCTATTTCAGCGATTTCTGGTGGCCGCTCGCTCGTTTGCCACCTTATGATATAAAAAATGAACATTATATTTGTGTTAAAATAAGTAATTATACAGTATGTCCCGAAATATCAACGATAAGTCGGTAATGGATAGCTAGGTCGATAACTATACGAGGAAAAATCCAAAAACAAAACTCTTTTTGTTTAAAAGTTACATGAACTGTTTTTAAATAATGCGTATTTTATTTGCTATCTAAAGTTGTTGCGGATAAGCGATATTACCATTGAAATACCATCAAAACCTTGAATCATCCTATACCCTAAATCATTCCAAACAACTTCCTTACATTTGTAAAATAACAAAACAACCTACGGACAAAATGAATCCATTGTTACGGTCTTAAATAGTTTTGTAAACAATGGACTTGTATAAATTATTGCCAATCATATTTATCTTTAAATCGGCTTGAAAGAAGCCAAATTTAACATATTCTGGGTCCATAACCTTCATGGCGGATAAAACAATTGGGACATATCGATATTTTGCGAATATTGAGTAACCAAAATACTTCTCACCAGAAAAAGACAATACCAAGAACTCAGAGTCACTTAGGGAAGAATAAAATAAAAAATGCAAGATTCCTTTTAAGTCTTTATAAGTTTTCTGTTAGGCATTTTAATTACAGTAATTTATAATATTTATTGTTAATCTATGTTATTCTTTTTCAATACTTTTTATTGGTGTAAAGAAATCTTATGAGCCCTTCAAACCTTCCACAACTGAAGGTGAGAAGGGAGAATCAGATAAAAATGACATCGATATCAATTTTTTCTTAATATCTCTCTATCTATCCTTCCTAAGCGCAGAATTTGACTGCAGTAACACTTGTATTTATACATATTAAAATCTCTGTTAAAAAGTTATGACAATATGTATTTGTACAAAGGTTACCGCAGTGGAATTCTACAGTAAACTTATCCGCGCAGTCATTTTTATCTGTTTTCTCCTTTCTCCACAGGACCGAGAGAATTGGCGAGACAGAATCAAATCACGACACAAATTCTAGAAGCATACATTCAGAAAAAGCTGGGCTTAGCGAGGAATACCAATCCTTTAATTCGACCTCCTTCGATCTTTGATATAATACCACCTAAGAAGCAAAGAGAGGAAAGACCAACGAGGCAGCTGTCAATTCATGAGGATAAAGTAGAAGATCCACCAGAGATTGAGGAAGATGATGAAGGGGAAACTGAACCGGCAACGGTGGAGGACGAAGGACTGCAGAGTGTGGAAAGCGAACAGATCGACTCAATATACTCCGAAGGCATGTTATTGAAGAATTTGTTATTATTGTCACTAACAATCTACGATAAGTAACTTTAAAAGGTTTACTTTCAAGACATCAAGTAACAGTATTGGTTTTCATAACTTATTAGCAAGTACTAACGAATACGTGGCGAAAAAGATCATAGTTAATTACTTCTTTGTCCTACTTAAATCGTCTTAACAATTACAAAAATATACACAACTTAGACGTTTGACCCATAGCACACGCATTTTTATCTTAGTAATATTGTAAATGCGAAAGTTTAGATGGATGGATGGATGTTTCTTTGAAGATATCCCCAGAACGGCTGAACGGATCTCGATAAAATTTGACATACATATAAAAGATAGTCTGGAAGAACACATAGGCTAACAATTAAGTTTTTTTTAATTCGGCGCAGACGGAGTCGACCAACAGTCAGACTAATTTTACAACAACATGACTTTTAGCAATTGAATAATTAAAGGTCATAAATTCTCCCCCAGTTAGCAAAGCAGTCATGAAATTGCTCATAGTAATTATTTTTATAACAGAGAGATTTTTACTGTAGACATAAACAAGAAAAAGTATGCAGCATGTCTGTACAGCACAAAGGAACTCAAAGTCCTTAAACCCGGAATGAAGCGCAGTAGACTTGTTTATTGCAATAAAACAAGCAGACATTTATCCTTTTTTATTCGTTGCATCGTTTCTTGAACTCTCATCTGAGTTAATTAGTTTTAATTCATCATCTCCTTAGTTAACTTTGTATATCAATCTGCTTTTATATGAACAAAATCAGTCTTGAATAAAAAAGAATCCATTTTTTTAAAATCTTATTTCACTTCTTACTAACTTACTAATATTATAAATGCAAATATTTAGATGGATAGATGGATATTTGTTTGAATGCATCTCCAGAACGGATGAACGGTTCTCGATGGAATTTGGCATACATATAGAACATAATCCGCTGGAACACATAGGCTTTTTAAGTTTTTTTATTTCCGGGCGGACGGAGTCGCGGGCGAAAGCTAGTAAGATAATAATGAAAATAAGTGATAGTTAACAATTTTAATGATTTTCTGGTGATTAGGGTATTTGTCAAATAGCACTCGTCAAATTATTATGTTAACTTCTATAAGATAATCTCAGTTTATGTAAGATTTGCTTATTCTTAACTTATGTTAATTTTAAATCATGTAACAATAATTACATAACTTAACAAATCTTGTTTCTTATTATTTTACCAACTTACTGAATTTATAATCATGTATATTTATATTTCTAGCAACCTAAATGTCAATGTTATAAAGTAAAAGACTGGGTTTAGAAAAAAAACTATCAATCTTTTTTAAAATTCTTCAGTATCACTTTTGACCTTAAACTTGAATCTGTCTTTTTGTCTTTTAGTTACTATCTTTTACTAAATACAACATTCCAAACTTATTGTATTTAATATTTTTCTTTTTTAGACTACAGTTTTATTAAACTATACTAGCTTTCGTCCGGGACTCCGTGCCCGCGGAATGAATAATAAAATATTTTTATAGCCGTTAAATAAATTTCGTTGAGATCCGTTGAGCCGTTTTGTAGATACCTTGTAACAAACATCCATCCATCTAAACAATCACATTTACAACATATACATTTATTTATCATATTTCTATCCAAAAAAAAAATGTACAAAACATATTATATTAAAAACAGAACACCACCGGCTGCGGAATCCCATGACTCAAACAACCAGTAGTCAGGGCTGCAGAGACAGGAACCTTCTCACGATGCGCGCGGTTTCTAGGATAACTGCCTTTTGTATCGGGCCCTTAATCCAACTGTGTAGCGAGAGCTTCTTGGATGTTGGTCGAAGCTCTTCGCTATCAGTAAGAAGTATCAGATTTACAATATTAGTAATAATTAGTAAACATTGCTCGAAATTGTGTTAAAAATAGCTAGTAAATATTACTAATAACTAATTGCATTTTAATACAAATCAGATATCTTCTAAACACGTTATTCAATATCTTTGGTTAAATTTGATATTAATATAAAAACTATATGCAAATGACCTAATTTCTATACAATATCTTGAATAATAATTTAACAGTCGTCTGAACAATTTCATATTGACCTTGACATACAGTCACATATAATAAATCAAGATTCTGTATTGGATGGAAATGTCAGATATTTTACGATCGCTATATTTAACGTGAAAATAATTTATGATACCTTTCATCATTTGGTTAAATTGATTTTTATGTCACGTTTTTTAAACACCATCCAGTTTCAAATTCTAATGAAGCTTATATCATTTCAATTACAAAAACTCTATTAAATTATTCAAACTTTCGTGAGACATTATACACACTAAAAGACCGGTGGCGGAGAATATACGTGAGTGTTTAGCCGTTTTTATATAAGTTTACAAAAACGTGTGCGTCCCGGAGGCCTAAGTCCTTTTTCCCTCCCCACCCTTATAAGGAAAGGATGGGAAGTGGAACTTTCAGGTGGTGGTTTTTCAGGTGATCGCTCGCTTGTTTGCCACCTGATGATATAAAAAAACTCTAGTTTTAAAACATATTGTTATTAAACTAGAGTTTTTTTATAACCCACTAACTGTCGCCCGTGTCTCCCTTCGCAAGTAATTAAAAAAACCTAATTAGTACCATATGTTTTCTTCCAGACTATTTTCTACATCTATGCCAAATTTCATCGAGATCCATGCAGCGGTTCTAGAGATACCTTCTAACCAACTTCCATCCGTCCATCCGAACATTCGTATTTATAATATTCCTAGATGGTGCTCGCGGATTTGTTCGGGCGGAGTTAAAAAAAAACATAATTATGTATGTAGCCTATGTTATCTTCCCGACTATGTTTTACATCTATGTCATATTTCAGCAACATCCATCCATGTAAAAATTTGTGTTTATAATATTAGTAAGATAGATGGAGTTCTTTATACAAGTTTGATGTCTAATCGAAAGTCGTAATATCATTAGTGTGAGTGACGCAAATTTTATCCTATCAAAAGGTCTCATGAGTCCTATTCTTCGCTTCACTTTTGTGATCCGAATTAGTTATGTATAGATTACATATCTATGTTGTTATCTATATTTTTGAAATGTAAACATCTTTTTCATCCCGTCTATCCAATCTTCTGAATAACAATATGGTTTTGTGAAGTTGCTTATGAAACTTGGGATAAATAAAATATCTACAGTTGACGTTGAATTTAATAATTAATTAGTTTTTAATTAAAAACATTAAAACCTCCTTCAATTATTTGTGTTATTTTATTTTTAAATTCATATTAACCTTAATTTGATAGCTAAAATAGTTTTTATTATATCATAAATAAAGTAACATAGCGATGCATACAAAAACAAACTAATTTGGTAATGAACTGTGGGAGTGATATATTTATAATCAGTTTACGTAACTAACATTGACATTTGGCTTGAAGATGAAATTCACATTTGTGATTTAAAAAGGTTAGATCTGTTAAATTAGATTTGCACCGTTTGTGCAATTTAGTAAGATATATAAAGCTTATTTATATACAATTAAATTAATCTTAATCTATTCTTAATACTTTGATTTACGATATGTTAAAAACATTATTAGATTATAAGCCATTTATGTAACTTTTTTTATATTTACCGTTTGCTGCAGACAGATACGGAACCTCTTTACACGTTTTTTATTCATAATTGTTATATTTTTGTATCTGGAACTTTATATGTTTTTTCTTCCTTTTTCTCTATATTTAAAAGGGTCAGTTGTAAATATATCCTCTAACAGTGCGTGCTTTTCTCTTTATTTTCATAATTCTATTTTATATTTTCATTTTATCTTTTTATTATATAATATTCCAAAATTCATCCTAATCCAACCGCTCTTTCCATCCTCATATTTTCCGTCGTCTTTACCGTTGGTTTTTGAGATCAATATCTCTGTAAAAAGCATATCGTCTTCCCTGTCATTATCTGTGACAAAACATTGGATTAGTATCTGGCCTCGAAAACCCACGGTTAGTCACGCAATATCCAGTCGTATAACAGAAAGTTTTAACAGATTATTCTATTGTTAATATGATGGCACTACCATAACGGATACGTTTAAACTGACGCTTTTGAACCGTGTTAAAGTTCTTTTTTGAAGAAAAGCAAAAAATACGCAAAAGCAAAAATATGTTTAATAAAACTGAGTTAAAAATTATTTTATAGTGATCGTATATTTTTATAAAGTTGTATGTATGGTATACTATACAAAATGAACATAAGCGTTAACTGCAAGTGGATTTTGCGTAAAACAAAACGAAGCTATTTTCATCATACATTGTCTTGTTAATGAGGAACAAACAGATATATTTAATTAGTGGTTTCTAAACCTGTTGCTAAGTGCATACCGATCGCAACCGTTCTGTGCAAAGCTCTATTACGTTGTATACACGAGGTTGCGTACATGTTTCGATACAGTTGGCCGACTTTACGTCATCTTCGTCTACGAAAGATGTTACTGTGAACTCTCCGTAACTTTGAGTATATTAGTTGTTTACTTATGTAATATATTAGCTGTAGCCTGCAACTTTGTACACGTGGAATTAAAAAAAAACTTTACAAGTACCCTATTTTCCATATATATGCCAAATTTTGTTAAGATCTGTTGAGCTGTTCCGGAGTTACCTTCAAACAAACATCCATCCATCTAAACTTTCGCATTTATAAATAATATTAGTAAGATGATATTTCGAACACTGACAATACATATGGATACATCACAGCTTGGGAATGACAGCTTTTACTTCGTTCTGACTTAAAAAGAAATAGCGAAAATCAAAGACGCACAAAATACCACGGCTTGCAGCCTATCCAGTGATTATAGGTCAGTTTCAAATTAGGTAAGCGCAAGTCAATCCATATGACAAAAATCTTTGGAAAAGTAGAGTTTGAACAGGAAAAATAATGGAATATATGTTTTTTGTTACATGTAAATGACAGTTTAATTAAATCGTGATTTAATTTCGAGTAAATTTCGGTTCTGTAGGATTCGGCCGGCATTATTAAAAATGTGAAAGGAATAATCTACATTAATTAATTAAAGATTTTATAGCTTGATTGATATTTCCTTTGAAGACTAATGATATTATTTTATACTCATCTAATTATGTACTCACTAATCAACTGGCAACTGTATAATTATTTATTTTTTCACTCCAGTGACCTATATTTAAATGTAAGATGAACTGGTTATATTAGTCTGGATTTTATGGGATTTCTTTTAAATAATAAAACTACTAATTTATGTTTAACATATTAATTAGAAATTGCTAATTTAACGACATAAAAACATAACCTTAAAAGTAATTTAAATGTTTAATTAAAGAGAGGTTACTAATGTTATATTATATAATTTTAAATTTAAACCATATCCTAGTTACAGGATGTTTATTTTTTCTGTAAACTATCATGCGAACATCAATCGATCCGTTTTTACCAAATCATTTAACGACGTATGTGTGTGTATATTGTAATATTTACGCAAACATTTACACTTGCGTTTCCATAAATTTTTAAACAAACTTGCTCACATAATCAAGTGCATTTTAATGAATGAATACTGTACGGTATAAAAGTTATCAATAGAGTTCAGTTGCAGTTGCATATGTCGACAGCAAACTCTGCATTACTGCTGGGAAAGGAGGAGGGGAACGCGGCTGGAGGAGGCTGTAGGCACAAAAAGGAGCATCGTTACAACGCGCTGACCCATTTCCGTGCAGTACGCGCCTACACGATACGATAGGGTTGTCGAATTTGTTATTTTTGTGATATTACATTGGTACAAAATTATTATTACTTTCTAATTAAATCGCTACTTTTGATGGCGTTGACAGCAAACGTTTCATTTAAAAGAAAATTATTATATCGCGTTAGTAATTACCACAAGTATCGTATGGCCTAGATCCTGTAGAAACTGAGAGGATGGTTAAAATCTTCGAATCTTTTGATACTGTTATTACTTATGTTGTCTAATGTAAAATATTTTTTTTTAATTGTGTGGTTTAACGTTTTAGCATATAACTTAGGATTCAATTTATATAAAAAGTTGCATTATTTATATGATAAAAATATAAAAACATTTATAACAAAAATATTTGACAGCCCTATAGGAAGTCATCGTTCGCAGGCTCTATGCGAGTCGCGGCACTCCGTCGCCTGCAAGCTTTGAAGCGATATTATTACGCCCACCAACATTTATCGCGATCACATGTTTTGATGTACGTGAAAAAGAAATACTGCATTGCATTATGATATCAACTAGTTTAAAATTAATATGTAGCATTTATTTTGTCATGCCTCCTCTTTCGTAAAGTAAAACTATCAAAGCATCAAAACTATTATATAATTATAATGTAAGTCCCATCTTTCCGCCATTTCACCACTCAACAAAAGATTGTATTGTGGTCAAACACTATTTTATTTGTTCAAAATTTATTTACAAATACAAGGGACTTTGTCATTAGGGATGTAACAAACTGCAGTTGTTAAAAACCTAAACCAAACTCTATTCTATAAAAAGAGAGTTGAAAAGTGCAATACAATCTATTTGACAAAAGACGCGAATTTTCTCTAGACTCATTCTTAATCGGAAGTCGAGTCGTATAACGATAAAATCAAGCCTCCGCTAAGAATTACTCGTACTACCGTCACTTCTTTGTGGCGGAAGCTTTCTGTCGAGAGCTTCGTTACAGCTTTGAGCTGAGCTTTCTGCGAGCTTTCGTTTAATTTATGCCGACGGTACTGTGTGCAGAGATTTCCTTGCGGAATTTAGAACTCTTTACATTTAAAGCTAGACAAAAACATGGAATAAGTCAGTGAAAGATGTCTGAAAATTCCTCATTAGTACTGTAAATTACTGTTCTTCTCCAGGCTGGATATTTTAAGTATTAATAGCGTGTATTTGCGCTGTAGGCTTATGTTTTAGTGACAGGCTAATTTGCTGGAAAATTTCTGCTTTCTACTGAGCACCCAGTCATTTAGAAATCAACCTCTTAATAATTGGTTTAATTCTGTTAAAAAGATATCAACTTAATGACTCTATTTCTATGACGAATAACCTCTCGTACTAATGTTTTTATTATTTTGATATCAATGTCCATTTTTTTCTAAATGAAGACTAATAATGCATTTCTTCTTTTTTCAGGTAGGAGTAAAAAATACACGAGCCCACCTTTTGAAGCGGAGTTGGATACAAATGATTATAGTAAGCAGATAGCCTTGGCCTTTTTTGTCATTTTATTTAACCTTAGTTGCTAGCTAACATTAATTTTTAATTATCATCAATCAAACAAGTTAAAGGTACTTTTAATGCATAGATTCGTTCTCTTGTAATGACAATACTAACATTTCTTTTTCTTTTTCACGCTTTCTTTTTTTTGTCTCACTCTTATATACAAACTTTTTTGATTTTTATGTCATTTACTTTTTTCTTCTATGTAATAATTGTTGGGTTTTTAGAAATCTTTAATTTTTTTTTGATCCTTTTAATAGTTTTCTTTGTCATTAATTTCATCGTCGTGTTCATGTATTTAAAAGACATTTTTATATTTTTTATGCTAATTTAATGCATTCGATAATCATATTTCGGTTTGCTTTTGTTTCTATTTTATTATTTCTTATTATGTTATTTGTATTACTTAATAACTATAATATTTTCATGTTATTTTTTTAGTTAGAACTCGTTTGACATTATCTGTTGTAGATTGTCTATTAACTCAAAAACTTTTTGTGTAAAAGTATATTTATGCTAAGTTTCTTATGTCATCTTTAGTAATGTTGTTTTATTAACATAACTACAAATATCAACTATTTCGTAGTTGTTAATTCCTGTAAATTTTGCTTAGTATTGTGAAGACGAAAAAAGATTATTAACTATTTCTTTAGTCACATCCGCGACGCGATAGTCTTTAAATATCTCTTTAGAGTATTTATTAACATACTGTTAGGAAGATTTTTTTATATATAATATCATAAGGTGGTGAACTAGCGAGTGGCCACTTGAAATCGCAGAAATAGCTAAGTGACCGTTGCCCATAGACATGCGCAATTACATATGCGTTGCCTACCTTTAATCGACGGAGGAGAGGATGCACAGAAAGAAAATATCTTCCCTTCCCATGCATCTCTTCATCCGGAAAGTCCATTATATAATTCTTTTTTAAAATAAATCCTAGCTTGATCCCTTCACGCGTTTTTGAGAAAAAGGTTCTTGACAGACAAACAGACGGACAACAAAATGATCCTATAAGGGATCCGTTTTTTTCCTATGAGATACGGAACCCTAAAAATGGCACGTTGATACGTAAAGGCCATCCCTGAACTAATATGACATAGCAAATATTCAAAACAGTTGAACTTTAACATACTCCACTTTATTTAAATTAACGAAAAGATGATATATTCTCCTCGACATTTAATTCGTCGAATAAAATTTTATACATTTTACTATATTTTTTTCCAGTTTGTGATTTTAATTAATTAATTGAAGCATAAATTATAACAATATACATATTAATAGAACAATTTAGATGTCAATATGTGTTGCGTAATCTTAAAATATTATGTTACTGAATTAATATTATAATTTGATCCATTAATATTCATAATTATACGAAGATGTTTGTCACTGATTCCGTATTTTCAGAACAGGAAAAAGAATCGAAGCGTTAAACTGAACGATATGACATTTGATTTAATTAGTTTTATAACGTGTTTAATAAGTAGATTTAATTATTTTTCCGACTTTGCTTTTCGCTTAGTGTAATTGAAGCTAGGTAACCTGGTCAAGGTTACGGGAGCGTCCTGGATGCAGGTAGCATAGGATCGGTCATCGTGGCGATCTTTAGGGGAGGCCTTTACCAAGCAGTGGGCGATTTATGGCTGAGAAAGAAGACTTAGGTTTTAATTTGAAACTGAAAATATGTTAGTTATAAAATATATCGAGTACTCAAATTACGCCACTTTCACAATTATGTTTGTACTAATATTAAAAAAAAAATGTATTTTTGTATGTAACATATAAACTATTGAACCGATTTCAAAAATCATTTTATCGTTAGAAATTTACATTATAACATATGCTATATTTATTTATAAATTTTCTATTTAAGCGTGGACTGTCGCGTGCAAAAGCTAATAGTAATATTTTTCGTAAAAAAAGTAAAATGTCTTACTACTTGACCCAGAGTCGATGCTTACCTTTTAATTTTTTTTTTGCAAAAATATTTGCAGATTTTTTTGTGAATTTACTAATATTTCTTTTACCGTTCCAACTAAGCTCTAGGCTTGTGCTAGGATATGGTTTACGACAATAGTCGAATGGCGGGATTCGAACCCCCGGCCTCGTGATCGGAAATTCGTACCCTTAACCATTAGGCTATTGACGATTTCCCTGACTAAATCTGCACTTAGGGACTACACATTTCATGACCAATTAACCAATATACACGTGACAGTATTTTACATACCATAATGGAAGAATTTGCAATGCTCCAATAGCTGTATACGGACGTTAAGTAAATGCTGAAGTTAAGAAACCATAAGCCGATTTAAGTTAATACATAGATTAAAAATAAGCGATAAGTGTTGACTTAACATAAAATGCAGCTACTTGAAACTTACCTAACCCTGTTGATCTAGTTAACCATTCAAGCGTTTACTGTACAGATTTCCTCTGACATGAAGTCATGTGTAGTATGACCATAATTATGTACGATGTATCTCAGTAAAAATACGACTAACCGTTGGTTTTCGAGACCCAAATCTCTATAAAACATCTATGTCTTTGACAAAACAGAAACAACAAAATGTTTAAACGTTAATTTTTGGTCTTGGAAACCTACCGTTACTTTAATAGAAATTATAAAGATTAAACGCGATTACCAATAAATGGATTATCATAAATCTTTCTTTTGTAAGAAACAAAATATCATTGTACAGTCAGTATGACAATTGTTGAACTTTTTTACCTATGATGATGCATATACTGTGGGTTTCTGAGACTGAAATCTCCGCTTAAAATATTATATTTGTTTTGTTAACGATAATGACAGGGATGACGACATGTTTCAGAAACCAACTGATAATGGCGCCTTGTTTATAAACGGTTGAATATAAATTGACTACCATAAAACAAGATTCCATTGAGTTATCGATAGTTGTTCTGTCTTGTTGAAGTCATCTTTTACTATTACTTATTTCTTTTTATATTACAAGCACGACATTATAGTTGCATTTTTCTTTTATATTGTCTCGACTTTTAAAAGAGGATTTTCTGCGTGTAAAAAATTAATCGTATTATCTTCCTCATTCAGTTGTTATTTTTACAAGTGTAAATAACATTTGTGAATAAGTTTTTTTTTTTTATATGATAAGTTCTTGAGTTTACTGTCATTAACTTATTCATCATTATCATCTCACTATACGTCCTCACCGAGAGGCTCGAAGCCTACCCTAAGTTAGGGGTGATGATTAGGCCATAGTCAACCACGCTTGCCAAATGCGGGTTGGTTGACTTCACACATATCTTTTCAGATATGTACATATGTAAATCGGAAATCGAAAAACACATTGGTACATGGCGGGATTCGAACCGAGGACCTGCAGATTGCAAGTCAAGTGCTTGACCCCTAAGCCACCGATGCTCAATTAACTTATTAATTTGGTCACAAATAATTCTAGCCGTGGGTTTCTGAGACAAAAATATCTGTATGAAACTTATCGTCGTTCCTGTCATTACCTTTGGCAACACAGAGATAAGAATATATTTTACACAGAGATTTAAGTCTCAGACACCCACGATGAGTCATAACTATTATTCTTTGATAATGACCTCACTTCACTTCACTAAACGTGCGTTTCTGAGACCAAAAACCGTAATATATATTGTTATCTCTGTTTTGTCAAAGATAATGATAGGGACAACGATATGTTTCATATAAAGATTTTGGTATCAGAAATCAAAGGTTAGTACATACATCATTTAAACATCGTTTTTAGTTTTCTTAATTATATTCTTTTTTTATTAGCAACAGTTAACCTTTTCATGTTACAACACGACAGCGTTGGTCGTCAAATACCATACAATAATCAACGTTTAAATTGAAGCGATACAGCAAATCTCTGTCAATGCCAAATTCAACTAATTAAATTGATTATGAAACATTTTTGGACATTTATGTTTACCATTACGTAGTTTCATCATCATCAGCTCACTATACGTCCCCACCAAGAGGTTCACAGCCTACCCTAAGGCCAAGTTCGGGTTGGTTGACTTCACGCTTATTACCTACGTAGTTTGGCAGATGAATATTTTTTGTTTCTTTCTAGAACATTATTTTGCCATGAGTTTCTGCGAACACAATCTCCGTTTAAAAATATTATTAGCTCTGTTATGTCCAAGATTATGACAGGCATTTTTTTAGAGATTTTGGTATCAGAAAACAAGCGTAGTAAGACATATTTTTTTTAAATTTCTACTACAAATAGAGTAAATTCCAAGCTCCATCCTGACGGGCACTTTTGATAAACGTTTTTTTTTTAATCTAGATAACCAGATGTATTTCAATAAAACTAATTTATAAGTTGCTAGATACAAGGGAATACAAGCATTCCCAAAGCCCGCAACGTAATTACACATTTCTAAGTACAAAAGCGTTTATAACTTTATACTATGGTCTATAATTACTACCAAGACTTATTCAAAATTAGTAGCTATTAGTAGGTATTGTTATCAAAGGGTATGATGACGTCATCCCGCGGAATGACGTCAATAATAACGGTTCATTGAATTATATTTAATACAACCTCGCCTACGTTTCTAATTATAAGTACAAAGTATGACGTCACATCAGTCCCTACTCATTCTTGTCAACGTCTAATACGTATTAGCTTCACGTCGAGATTGCTTTTCATTGATAAAATGGATAATATACCCCAGTTACAGATGCTAGGATTTTTAACAGAGAAAATAGTAGTAGAAATAAAAAAATATGACAAAATGTTTTATATAAAAATATTCCGGCTAGTGGAAGCCCACTGTTCGAACTTCGAACACACTGATCGCAGTTGAAAAGATTCGAAATTCGAATACGTTTTTTTTTAAATGAATGTTTCGTCAATTTTTTATGTCTTTTTTGCTTACTAACTCGATATACCAACATTAAAAAAATTAAATCTTTATTAAAAAGTTTTATCTTATTACTT